CTCGGCCCTACCAAGGTGGTAAGTTTGTCCACCACACACTACCAATTGGTACTGAAGTGCTTGCATTTCAGGGCAGTGATTAAGGCAAGAATTCATCCGTTGTGTAAGTGCGGACACCGTGATGCTAAGCCTTGCTGGCAGGGAATCACGATAAACCCTACCTACACACAGCTGGTCTTTCCATCGCAGTGGGGGCCTCCCTCTTCCTCTGCTACCACCCGTGGATTTCGAGTTGTATGCTTTCAGAGCTGCTTTGTGCGGGTCCTGCAAGACATGTACTTCCACCGCTGGTAGGACTTTTAGAACGGAGAGAAAGATGAAGAAAAGAAGTAAAATTGGAGATAAGGTGAAAATATCACCGGGTGGGGGTCCAGAGAACGTCAGAGGTTTAGGTAGGCCTCGGCCCTACCAAGGTGGTAAGTGTGTCCACCACACACTACCAATTGGTACTGAAGTGCTTGCATTTCAGGGCAGTGATTAAGGCAAGAATTCATCCGTTGTGTAAGTGCGGACACCGTGATGCTAAGCCTTGCTGGCAGGGAATCACGATAAACCCTACCTACACACAGCTGGTCTTTCCATCGCAGTGGGGGCCTCCCTCTTCCTCTGCTACCACCCGTGGATTTCGAGTTGTATGCTTTCAGAGCTGCTTTGTGCGGGTCCTGCAAGACATGTACTTCCACCGCTGGTAGGACTTTTAGAACGGAGAGAAAGATGAAGAAAAGAAGTAAAATTGGAGATAAGGTGAAAATATCACCGGGTGGGGGTCCAGAGAACGTCAGAGGTTTAGGTAGGCCTCGGCCCTACCAAGGTGGTAAGTGTGTCCACCACACACTTCCAATTGGTACTGAAGTTCTTGCATTTCAGGGCAGTGATTAAGGCAAGAATTCATCCGTTGTGCTAAGTGCGGACACCGTGATGCTAAGCCTTGTTGGCAGGGATTCACGATAAACCCTACACACAGCTGGTCTTTCCATCGCAGTGGGGGCCTCCCTCTTCCTCTGCTACCACCCGTGGATTTCGAGTTGTATACTTTCAGAGCTGGAGCGTCGGCGTCCATTCGAACGACATGGCAAAGCCAGCGGAGCCGCTGTATTTTAATTCGCTGCACTATGTCTATGTCGTTGTAAAGCTCATACAGCTCATCGTTCCATCCTCTGCGGTACTCGCCGTCGCCAACGCGTAAAGGCCCTCAAATCTTCCGCAAAATCTTGTTGATGTTGTCATTGTCCATGCTTCTGCGCTATTACCAGAACGGGTATGATGAGTGACGTACATGAGTGTGGTTTTCGTACGTCGAGAGAGGAATTTACTCCTGTAGCTCGTTTCTGTAACTCTTCTCTACCAATTATTTTTCTACTGGTAGAGAATATACGTCATTCTCTACTACTCATTACCACTAGAGAAGAAGGCGGCGAATTCATATATGAATTAACACCTATAATTCAAATGTTATGCAGCAAATTGATTCAAATTTTTTTGAGGCTTCAAGTATACGTCCATGAATTATATCCAAAAGCAACCAGCTTGCTTTAGTTTACAACAGCGAAAATAAATCTAAATAACAGGTTACCTGTTTTTTAGATTTGCCCATATACATACATCTGTGGTTTCTAAAAAAAACTATTTTTTTAATTTTAGGAAAAACTTAAATGAATTCTATAACGAAAACCATGTAAAATGGTTTTGAAATAATTTAAAAAAAAATTTTGAAAACTTTGAAAACGTTCATGAAAATTTCAAGATTTTTTCTCAGAATTTTCAGAAAACTTTTGAGTATGTAGTTTGGTAGCCCAATAAATTTTAGTCTAAAAAAGTGCAAACCTGAAGTCTCAAAATTCGCGTTAATTTTTGAATTTTTTTTAAGTCTGTTTGAGATTTTCTTCCATACAAATTAGATTTCGCAAAATGTGGAAGAAAAATTAAAATATCTTTCAGAAAAAAATTGTTAAAAACACGAATCTTCAGAGACTTTAGGTTTGCACTTTGTTAGACTAAAATGAATTGCGCTACAAAACTGCATTCCCAAAAAATTTTCTGAAAATTCTGAGCATAAACTGTAAAATTTTGATATTTTTTTAAGTTTCTGGAATTTACAAATTTTTTGATTTTTTTAACTATTTTACATGGTTTTCGTTATAGAATTCATTTCAGTTTTTCCTAAAATAAACAAACTCTTTTTTTTATAAAACATGATTGTAAATTGTCTTAATTTTTGCGCCATTTCTGTCTCCACTGCCAAAGTATGAATATTAACACTAGGCATTTAACTATATAATGTATTGCAATTTCATATCTCTCTCTGATAAACAAAAGGCAAAAGTGTTAACGTTTTTGAAATATTTAAATTTTTTTGAATTAAAAAAAAATCGTGCCTTTTCATGTATTTTCTTTAACTACATCTACAAACCAGGCTATACTTAGTAAATTTTTTATGTAAAATACTTCCAGATAGTTACTTCTCCATACTCAAATGCATTGTAGTTAAAATATATTAAGGAACCATCATAAAATCATGACTATTTTGGGATTTTTAACTTTTTGATATTTTCTGCCCAACTTTGACTATCTCTGGTGAAAAAAAATGTACTGAGCTATAACTTTACATTCCATAAAAAAATTGCTCATTTAATAAAGATTTCAGAAAGGTGCCACTCTTACTGTTTCGTATAGAAAAAAAAGTTATAGCCGCTTTTGTGGACAAAGGACTGAGACACGCTACAATGTATTTAATAGATTTAAATTTAAGTTGCTCTTGTTACCGACAATGACATGCTAAATAGTACAAAGGTACATTATTACCAGCTCCTGACATTATTTTATGTTACTTACCGGAATTCGGACTAGAGCTATATATATCAATATTTTTTGTGAAGGATGGGTTCACGTGAAATAAAATATACATGAGTTGTTTGAAGAAAAACGTATTCATTTATTGATAAAATATGTTCAAATTGGCGACCTTCTACTCTAATACAAGCTCGGCACCTTTTAAGAAAATACACTTTTAGAGATCTTAATCAATTGGGCTATCCCAGCAGCAGTTACATTTATTTGTTCCCGCAAATGCTCTTTGTTTTGAATTGTTTTTGAATAAATTTTGTCCTTAAAACATCCCCAGTAGAAAAATTCTAATGGATTCAGGTCTGGCGATCGAGCGGGCCACGTGATTGGCCCGTATCGTCCAATCCATCGGCTAGGATAAGTTTCGTCTAAATGAGCTCTTACTTCACGCCCGTAGTGAGCAGGGCACCCGTCATTTTGCAGCCATAGTCTTCGCCGCAGGTTTAAGGGTACATCTTCTAAAAGAGTTGGAAGCTGCTCCTGAAGGAACTCTAAATAACTGTGAGAGTTGAGCGTTGGCGGCAGTTCCACAGGTCCCAATATCTGACAATTAAAAATACCGCACCATAAATTTATTTTGTACCGGTACTGCGAACGATCTTCTCTCATTTCGTGAGGATTGTCTATCTGCCAACTGTGAAGGTTATGTAAATTAAAATAACCATCACGTTTGCATGATGATTCATCGCTCCAAATTATTTTATTAAAAAAGTTGGTGTCTGTTTCATGCATTCGCAACATTTCACGGCAAAATCTAACCCTCGACGGGTAATCTCTTTCTTATAGATCCTGAACACGTTAAATGTGGTAGGGATGAAATCGATGGTCTTTTAAAGCTTTGTGAACTGTAGTTTTTGGTATTCCCGTCCGTCTTTCCATCATTCTCACTGAAGTCGATGGAGCTAGTTCCACTTCCTCTAACACAGCTTCAACATCTACCGTTGCAGGACGTCCTGTTTCGCCGCCACGCCTTCCAGGTATGCGACCTTAAAAAAGTCAAAAATGATAGTTAACAAGTAAGCAAACAAGTAAGGTGTAAAAATCACTTACCTTCATATATTTCTCTATGGGTCCGGGCGAATACTTCACGACCCGGATGTCGACGATTGGGGTATCGCTCTGCATAGAGTCTTTGAGCAGCTCTGGCATTACAGCAAGCTTCACCGTAAATTAGGTGAATATCCGCATATTCATGCGACGTATACTGCGTGTTCTCTGTCATAGTATTAATAACACAATGTTCGAAGGGTCTAATTTCACAAAATCCACTTTCACTAATTCCGGTAAGTAACATAAAATAATGTTAGGAGCAGGTAATAATGTACCTTTGTACTATTTAGCATGTCATTGTCGGTGACAAGAGCAACTTAAATTTAGATCTATTAAATACATTCTAACGTGTCTCAGTCCTTTGCCCACAAAAGCGGCTATAACTTTTTTTCTATTCGAAACAGTAAGAGTGGCACCTTTCAGAAATCTTTATTAAATGAGCATTTTTTTTATGTACCAGAGACAGTCACAGTTGGGGAAGAAAATATCAAAATGTTAAAAATCCCAAAATGGTCATAGTTTTATGATGGTACCTTAATATATTTTAATTAAATAAGTCCACCGCAAGGTTTGTTAAAAACAAATACATGTACATATATGATATATGGGGTAAGGAAATATCCCTTTCCCCTGGTAGTAGACATTTTATTGTAGGCAACAATGATATTTTTCAAATTAGGCAGATCGGAATATGCGCTCTCTGGGAAGACAATACCTGTAGTTATTGTACCATTCATTCGTTTTATATATGAATAATTCACAAGCCGTTTTGAATGAATTCATGCAGACCTCGAATATGTATTGCATTTTGAAGTGAATTGTTTTCGATATTTTCTTGTTAAAATACATGTGTTATTTAGTATTTTTGTACCGGCAATAAAATTTTAGGAAACTATTTTTAATTGCATATTTTACTTGTTTATAGCGCATATTTTAGATTTTTTAGTGCATGAGATCCCGAGCCCTATTGATATGTATCTTATTTTCGATGGCAAATCTTAAAATTTTGAAGCTGAACATAAGTTTTTACTGCACTGACTGTGTTGATAAATTATTTTCATTTGCCTTTAAATAGGACTAAACATATACTCTGTTCTCATCCCTAGGTTCCGAATTGCAAGATTCCGGAAAGATAACGGTTTGTGGTGACATCGAAGTTAAATCGTATCGTCATTTGATTGGATATTGTCCACAACATAGCGTTTTTATGCCGTACATGACTTGTGCTGAACATTTAAATTTTTTTGCTCAGGTACGTTTTTACTCCATATGTACATATCGTCGCCTGGGTAAAATATTGTCGTAAGCGTCATACGTACATGCGTAACATACGACAATCTTTTACCCAGGCGACGATATGCATTATATGTACACATATGGGCAGTTCTCACAAACTTAGAATTTTTTTTAACTAATTTATTTATTGTATTTATAACAATTTAGCTTACAAAATTAGTCGTATAAGCTAATTTATTTTGCACTTAATCCTAGTTTATTTTAAAATAAATTAAATTGACGACAAAGAAACCATATACTACAAAACGTAGTTTATTTAATATTAATACTTTTGGGACAGTTTCCGGTTAGAAGTATGTTTTTTAAATGGCTTGTATTTAATTTGTTTCTTTGCTTGGAACAAATAAATTTTAAATCAGAAAAAAAATTGTTCGCAACAGTACGTAGAAATAAAAGTGATAACATCTTAAAAGAAAATTCTTTGAGTTGAGGATAAAAACTTTTATCTAAATTTTTCCAGAACTCAATTATATCGCTTCCATTATAAAAATGTGTCTCGCTTCATAGGATTATTATTTCTATTTTAATTTCAAAATCATACTTGCTCACATCACAAGTAAAGGGGTTTTCAAAGCGATCAATAAAATTCCGACTTCCCTTAATGTCTTAAAATCTGTCCTGAAAATTAAAGAAGCGAGTTTCCAATAGTTTGCATGATGATCAAAAATAGCACCGGTTCGTGGGAAATTTCAATAATCCCCCGAACTTCAGCAAAAATTCAAAATAAAATGGTTTTAAAATCAATAATTTTTTAAATAAACTGGTAAAAGTTTTTTCCCTTCCTTTAATATATAATTTGTTATATCAGAGAGAAATGCTAAATCTAAAATAAATTCACTATCCTGCAACGTCTTTACTAATTTTTCTGTTCTAACCAAATTCTCAAAACATAAAAATTCTAGTACTTCTTTCCTTAGAGCGAATAATCTATTCAGGGATTCACCACGGTTTAACCACCGGACTTCCGTGAACATTTCAAGATCATAATATCTGGCCTTAGTGCTTTTTAAAAATGACGTTAATTACCTGGAGTTAAGGGAGTGATGCCCTCCTTGCTTAAAAATTTAGAGGCAAGAGAGAGTTGATGAATTACGCAATGAAAGGAAAAAAACATTAATATCGTGCTTTTTCAGCTGACCCACAAAACCTCTTTTGCCAATCATGACGTTTGGACCATCCGTACTAAGGCATCCAATCCCGGACCATTTTGTGAATCCCGGGATTTGGGGATCTTAAATTGGTAATCTCGGGCTCCCGGGATTTGGGGATATTATTACCATTAATTAAAATATGCTAACAAACTAGTTTTGTAGTCTTTCTTTAGTGCGAATACTAGAAATAAAAATAAATTTGTGTTTTTAAGCAAAGAGATATAAATGTCTTTATTTTATATCAGCTTAAAAAGCTAATTACAAACTGAATAAACTAAAAACTATGGAGTTGAACTTCATTCATATTACAGTCGCAGTCATGTTTACAAAAATTAAAAAATAGGAGATCATCTTTACAGTTACATATAGTATTTATACTATATATTTGTGGAAGTATGTATGTAAGTATGTATGTATGTGTTTTTTTTAAGTAGGGGAAGCATCGAAAGCCGGAGTGCTAGACTTTAACCCACTAAACCTAACCTACTCCCTCCCATAATCACTCCTATGGGATCACCGATTAAGCATTACTTCATAGGAGAGATATAGGACAATTAAGTCCCCTCAGTATAACGGATGGATTGACGCCTAAGATTATCTGTGTGTCGTAATTCAGTCATAATTATAGCTGACGCATTGCAGACAGCTTTCCAATTTTCAGAGGACTGACACATATGTGCAGTCAAATTTTCCACCGTGAGCCTACTTTCTAGTGCATATTCTAAGCTATTTCTAACATATGAGAAACGTGGGCATGAGAACATAACGTGCTCTGCATTTTCTACGACTTGAGGGCAAGTCAGACAGTATGGACTAGTGTCGTGTCGGAATCTGTATAGGTAATCCCTAAAGCAACCGTGACCGCTAAGGATCTGCGTAAGGTGGAAATTGATGTCCCTGTGTCTCCTATTTGTCCAGTTGTCGACATTAGGTATCAGTCAGTGTGTCCACCGACCCTTTGATGAGGTTTCCCAACGCTGATGCCACGTTAGGATGCTCTTCGTTTTTCTTCTGCTATTTTAATATTCGTCAGCGGCTTGCTTGAATATCAATTGGTGCCATGCTAGCAAGCACTTCTGCGGCATCACTGGAGACTGTTCGAAAAGCACTTATGACTCGTAGAGCCGCTAGCCTGTGCACAGCGTGTATGTCTTTCGCATTCAAGACTCGCGCAATTAAATGCCGGCGACTGGAGCACACACATCCGTTATTTGCCATCATTCGTGAAAAGGCGACGTAAGATTTTGTGGCCTTTTCTGCTATGTACAACAAATGCTTTTTGAAGTTGAGCTTCGAGTCTAGTATTACTCCTAGATATTTGAAGGAGGGCTGGGATATTATCCCACAGTCTCCCACCGTAATGCTTATGCTTTCTCTAATTTTTCTTGTGCTTATGAGTAGAACCTCAGTTTTGTGCTCGGCAAGTTGTAAACCCATTGTTGAGAACCAATTTCGTATTCCATAAATAGATGCATTGCAGGTGCGACGCCGGTCATCGAGATGTTTAGCGACCGCAACTACTACAAGGTCATCGGCGTACGCAATCAGTTTCACTGGATCTGGTTGCCGTTGTTTTAGGACGCCATGGTACACAATGTTCCAGAGAAGAGGGCCTAAAATAGACCCCTGTGGTACTCCTCTGGATATTGCATATTTCTTAAAGCCTTCATCTGTATCATTCCTGAGGATTCTGTCATTAAAGTAGTTAATAATATTTATTAAATAGCGAGGGGTGCTTATTTCACGAAGGGCATTGATTATATTAGCCCATCTTGCGGAATTAAACGCATTTTGTACGTCTAATGTTAAAAGAGCGCATAATTTTTGGATCCACCTTTCCATTTTTTCCCCGCTGCGAGCAATGCCTACTTTAAGATTCTTTCTGCACCGCTTGTATCGTTCTCTGAGTATTTGTTCGCATTGACTTAAGCGGTTTCGCTGATGACAGCGTCTGGCTGCGTTGCAGTTTTCTGAGATCAGCTATTTCATCGTTCCACCAGTAGACTGGCCTTGTTGTTGTTGTTGTAGCGGCTACAACAACCCCGCCCAGATCGGTTGGTATCTCAGTCGTTGTCGTCAAGTTCCACTAACGGCAACCCTAGGAAGCGTGCAGCTTCTGCGGGGTTTGCCCATAAGGACAAGGCCGTTAGGGATGTCGGGTTTGCCGGGCATGCGAAGAGATGTTTCGAGTCATGTGGGGTCTCTCCGCATGCCGGACATTCGTTCGGCACATCCTCATTCAGCCTACTCAAGTAGGAGTTTAACCTGCTGCAGTAGCCGGAGCGAAGTTGTGCGAGTGTAGTGCGTGTCTCCCGAGGCAGATGAAGCTCCGTCTCGTCTATGTCCGGGGGTGGTGTGCCTAGAACGGCATTCACAGGTCTAGAGTCTACATAACTCGAGACTGAGTCCCTGTGAATGCCGTTCAGCGACCTATGCTGACTCTAGCATCAGACCATCTACCCATAGTCATCTCGATTGATAAACCAACCGACTTTGCCTCCGCCAAACACCGGACCTATGTCAACTTTTCTAAAGCTGATTGGAAAGGTTACGCGGAGTTTACTGAAAACACCTTCACATCGCTCCCCACACCAACCGACGTCCATCTCGGTGAACGTAAGTTCCGCAGGGCTATCACTGCTGCTGCAGCTCGCTTCATACCGGCAGGGTGCATATCTGACCCACGTCCAAACTTCCCTGCCGAAGCGGCTGTTTTAGCCAATGAGCGTGATAGCCTTCGTCAGGCCGATCCCGGAGATCCCCGTATCAGGGATCTCAACGCGGAGATTCGGCAACTTGTAAACGTACATAAGCGGAAGAAGTGGGAGGAGCATCTGAAGACTTGTAACTTCACCTCTGGTGTGAGCAAGCTTTGGTCAACCGTGAGGTCATTGTCTAATCCGACGAAGCACGACGACAGAGTCGAAATTTCCTTCGGCGACCATGCTTCGTCGGACCCGGAGCGTTGCGCGAGCTTTTTTAGCCGGCAGTTCATACTGCATCCTCCGGTGGACAAAGCGAAGCGTCGAGTGACCAGAAGGCTGCACAAACTGCCAACAACTTGTGCCCCCCTTGCTTTCACTTGCGGTGAAGTTCAGGTGGCCATCGGGAAGGCGAAAGCCTCCAAAGCCATGGGTCCCGACGGAATATGCATGCTGATGCTGAAAAATTTGGGTCCTGCGGGGGTAGCGTACCTAACGGAGGTCCTCAATTTGTCAATGGCCACTCTCATCATCCCAGACATCTGGAAGGTGGGGAGAGTGGTCCCACTGCTCAAACCGGGGAAACCTGCCAACAAAGGAGATTCGTATCGTCCGATTACACTCCTTTCCCCGGTAGCGAAGACACTCGAGGCCTTGCTACTCCCGTACTTCACAAATCACCTGACCCCAGCGAAGCATCAGCATGGTTTCCGTAAAGTGCACAGTACAACAATAGCACTTAACGCCATAAACACTCAGATAACTCGTGGCCTTAACCGTAACCGTCCCTGTGAGAGAACGATTCTAGTAGCGTTGGACTTGTCAAAGGCGTTTGACACCGTCTGCCATTCCACGCTACTAGAAGATATAGAGGCCTCCTCTCTCCCACAGAGGCTCAAACGGTGGTCGGCAAATTATCTAAGTGGTCGACATTCGTCGGTAATGTTTAGAGACAAAACGAGTAAGCAGCGAAAAATAAAACAGGGGGTTCCTCAGGGTGGTGTCCTTTCCCCGCTACTGTTTAACTTTTATATTTCAAAGCTCCCTCAACCACCAGAGGGAGTCTCGATTGTCTCCTATGCCGACGATTGCTCGATTATGGC